ACACATCTATGCTGTACATCAATCCAAACATCATCACAAAATTTATTGTTGTGAAAACAAAGCCTTACCTTTGGAAGCGTGACGTTTCCATAGGAAGTAGAGTTTGGATATCAGCACTTCCAGTGAATATACCTTCGAGGTAAACCCATCTCCGCTGTACATCAATCCAAACATCAAACAGAGCATTGATCCTGTTCAGCTTTTCTTCCCAAGCTAGAGCATCTTCTTCAAATTCCTGTAAATAGACCAAGATAAAAAAAGAATTATACTTTGTACAGTTATTTATTGATTAATCTTTTCATATACTTTAAACATAATCTACTTTTATTTACAAAAACAAAATGATTATTTTAAATAATTTACATTACTAAATCAAATTGAAATATGGACATAAAGAAGAATATGTCACAATTATCGCTTTTAATATCAGATATATTAATGCTATATGGTGATAAGTACTAGTAGTATAAATAAAGTAAGATTAAGGATTCTGGAGCAATTTATTTAACGTACTAAAATCTACCTTATTTAGAGAACTAAGAATAACATTAAAAAATGTTGGCAGTTGACATTCCATTCACACATACGCATCCCTTCACAAAAATCCAAGCATCCATAGTAATCGCAACGTGGCTTTAAGTGTCCCTGTTATAAAAGGGGCAATAATTATCTGTTTCATCCCTTGTAAGTAGCAATAAGTTCATATTATAAGAATATTAAACATAACTTTCATAAGTAAGCCTCATCTTTCTAACAAACTAACTCCTTCGTATGTACCTTATAATACGGTGACAACTTCATAGCAGCCACAGAATTGATGTGTTCCTTAACTTTGTTGAACAGGTCATCCCATCCTCGGATTAAACGGCATTTGTTTTGGTAGTTCACAAGATCAAGTTCATAATTTTGCCATGCTTCACGAACCTTTGCAAAAAAAAAACCAATACTTGTATATTAAGTATTTGAAAATATTTTTATAACTTCAAAGTACTTGAATGTTTTAATATATTTAAGTAGTTAAGACTTGTTACAAAAAACTGTTTTGGATAAATGTGCTTATTAATTCAACATTAATAAAATAACTTGTACAAATATATTTTACAGGCTATATATAAACTAATTTCAGGCACATATTGTAGAACATCTAACCACACCTGTTTTAAGAATTCCTCCAAAGCCATTTCACCTTGAGCCACCAGAATTACATCTTTAATGATAGGCTCATTTCTCTGTAGGTCAACATCCCAAACCTGACCCAGAGTTAGGTCTGATAACACCCAGGTGACCCTCAGCTGTTTCATCAGTTGTTTCCAGTGGCGTTCTTTTAACGCATCTGATTTCAGCTCCACAATTAACATGTTTACCTACATTAAACAAACATTTGTAACAATTGCTCTTCAAACAATGTAATTAAAAACCCATCATGACAAAAAATATTGAGAATACTAATCAGAGTATCTGTAGTTTTTAACTGGGAAGAATTTGACATTACTTAAAAAACAATCAGATTACTTTTTCTATGAACAACAACATGTAGTTTTGATTTAACACCTGTAATGTCACACGACTGACTTTGGCACTATACACAATACCATAAATATGCAATATGAACATTATTCCATTTCGTTAAATTATCATCATTAGAAGTCTACATTGAAAAGCAATTCCCAGATTATGGAAGAAACTGGATTATTAAGGCCCCTTTTTGCTACATTTAAATGAGATCTTATACAACTCAAATGAGATTTAACATACACAGCTAACCCTAACGTAACAATCCTTTCAAAGTGTATCCCCACCACATTGTGGGTTCTACTTCCACGGCCACCTCCAAAACCCACATTATAGCCCGTACCCTGGAGATCCTTTTAATTTATGCAGTGTTTTTAATTTAATTTTGTTTGGGTTTGTTTTGTTCATTAATAAATAAATTAATTAAAAATAATGCTAAGAACACCAAACCTATGAGCTTAAATTAAACATATGATTTTTGGAGGTTAGATACAGTTGTGTATATAAGCTGAAAAGCTTATCAATAAAACTATTTCTACTTTATATCAATATGTATTATAAACTCACAGCCAATTTTTAATGTAGTGACTTTCATAACATTATCACATTTTAAAAGTAATCAGAAGGAAAGTAACATGACTGCCATACCTTTGTATACCCTTGAAGAAGGCGTTTCACAAACTCGTATGACGCATATTGACGAAGACGTGCTGGAAGTTCTTTCAACTGAGCAAGCAAGCCATCCAGTTGTTGTCGCAGCTTTAGAAGAAAAATATTACTCTTTCTACAAAACTATATGAAAAACCTTTTAATCTCATTTTTACAATAAACAAAACATTTATAAACTGAATGCAACTGTATCAACCATATCTATCAATCTATCTAATTTATATACATATAAACAAATCCATTAATTCAAATAGGTGAGGATCCAACTCATATTCACGTCAACTGTTACCTTAACACTGAAAGATCAATAAAAATTACATAGGAAGCAATAGAAGTATAGATTCACATACGCAAAAAAAATCAACAAATAATTCATAACCAGTACTTCGTATGTTTCTGTTGAAATTGTTGGCATTAACATACAATAGACTATTGTAAAAAAAAATACTTCCCATTTCTTTATTTCATTAAACTTGGATATTCTGAAACACACCTTTCGAGGCTGAACAGATAACCACGGTTGTTCCTTCATTTGATCTATCTGCTCCCAGATTTTAGACAATTCTAGCCAAACTCCTTTCAAATCCTGAAGTTCTTCAAAAGCTACTTGCAACCGTTCATCACTTGAAGTCTGAGCACCTGTTAGTAACAAGAAAATACATTTCACCTTCTCGCATTTAACTCCTGCATACATATCTTTTAAACCCAATGAAATAGTACCATAAAAACATTAATCAAATAATACATATAACAAAACTGATAATTAATCTATCAGGTAAGCTTTATTTGATGTATAGAACTAGAAAATAATTAGCAACATAACACATTGGTATATTCTTAAACAAATATAATCAATACAAATGACAGTATAAACAAAACTACCATGTTCTAAGTGAAAAAACTAATAAGGTGTACCAGGTTCTTGTAGCTCCAATGCTTCCTTAGCTTTGACAATGTTGTCTCTGTCTTCCTTCAGTCGGCTGAACTTGGTTTCATATATGGCAAGTTGGCTAGTAGCTTCATTAGGTTTCAAGGAGCCCTAGATTAGATATTCCATGAATTTATGAACAGCGAACTTACAGTAGTTTTATCTTCATCATTTACTAGGGATTTCTCTATCATGCATTAATGGGAATTTCACTGCTGTGAATATTATTAACAGTATCTATATTGTTCACAAGGGAATTGGCTATTGTGCATATTGTTTATTTGGGAAAGGCTATTTTGAATATTGCAAATTGGAAAAAAAATTCATTTAATAAACAGTTCCTGGAATTTCAAAGTCAGACACAAACCTGTCCTTTAAGATAAGTTGCATCTTACTCGGTGAATTTTCTTATTTTCATATATTTTTACCTCAATGGGTTTGCTTTTCTCCCAGTCTGTTAATAAGTCCCCAGTGCGAGACTCTACCGATTTGTCCTCAGCAACAATCTTCATCTGCAGGCTCGCAACTTGGGTTTGGATGGATGCATCTTTGCGCCGAATGATCTCGTTGAAGGCAGACCACTCTCCTTCAATATTGTCCACATGTAGCCAGGAGTTAGGGAACTGGAAACGCTGTCGTTCCAATATTCTCTGTCCTTCTTTGTAGAGCTAAATGTAACACAAGTAATACTTGTAAATGGAGCAATGTCTAAAGTCTTGATATGAAAGTCACTTTAAGCAACCATTAAAACACAGAACATAACATATTTGATTATGGTGATTGCTATTAAACTATTTCTATTATTAAGCATAACATCAGTACATGTATACCTGAAAGTTCATTATTAATATACACTCTTTCTGGTGATTTATACAGTTGAGTAATTTAGCTTGATATAATTGATTACCTTAGAACATTAATCAGTGCCATGTAAAATATTCAATTAATCAGAATTACAATTAATTAAATTAATGTCATGAAAATAATCAACTAATTGAAACTAGGGTTTCTGATTATTACTACTTTTTATTATTCTAATTACCCAAGTCTTAAGTGAGAATAATCAATTACTTAATCGTAGCCTGATGATTAATCAATTAGAAAATTCCCCTAACTGCCCAGCTCAAGTGATTGGTGGTGATTCAGTAAGATTCAACTTATAGTGTAAATGTTTGAGCATCATATACGTATAAATACCATCTCACTAAACTTTTAGCCATAAACACGTCACGTCTTGCAAATGACTAATTAAAAACAGATCAAGAAAAATTCAAATAAACTTACACACCCTGTCTATCATTTATTTTTACACTCTAAAATATACAGTTTACTCTTTGAAGAACTGTATAAGCACAGATCAGAAGCTAGTAACTGTCAGTGTAGTATTACCTCAACATGTTGCTCCCAGCTTTTCATCTTTCTCTTCAAGGACTGAACATATGTGATGAAGGACACAGCATCAGATGTAGTGGCAGTGTCAATAGACTGTTGCTCCAGATCACTGCGGGACTAAAAGTTTAAACACAACAAACTAAGAAATGCTAATAATAAGTATGAAGTCCAGTCTAACATTTGATTCACCACTTTTCAATACGTTTAACACACTGACTTGTGGGAATTTATCCCTTATCAGTAACCCTGGACAAGAGCAAATCAAAAAAACAAGACTAGCACTCATAGAGTGATGGAGTGTAAATTATATGTATGGTGTTTTGAGTTGTATTTTACTCACCACAGCAGACCATTTTTTTTATATAAAACTTGTAGTTTTAATGCTGTATAAATAAGGGTTCACTGTGGTTGATAAAAGACAACAAAAAACCTTGTTGAAAAATGTCAGATTAAATGATTCATAAATAAACAGTAAAAATCACTAAAAAATTTTTTAGCTGCTAACTGATTATGAAACTAATTAAAATATTACTCAAACTTTTTTATAACAATGGTTTTTTTCTGATTCAAAATAAAATAAAAGAGGAATACACCAGAAGGCAGAAGACTTTCAAAATGTCGTCCTCTACAACTGAGCTACACAAGTACATACTATAGTCATAAATATATTTCTACAAGTGTTTCTCTAATAGACAGTCACCACTCACTTCACAGTCAACTCAATATAAATACTCTATCTAGCAAAGGATAGGAATACTTATTGTATTAGAAAATATTTAAAAGTTTGGAGAAAATTTCAAAATCAATTCACCACCAAAGGATTGAATGCGACTGTGTATATTGAAATGACAGTATATAGTTAACTTAAAGGTTCTAAAATCCTTCATAATTTCTGTCATAGTTATGTCTTCTTTTTTGTGGGCTTAAATCAGAAAATGACAGTATATTTAGAAGTGTATCTGAAGTATATTTAGACCTAATCAACAGCAATTTCTCAAAATGTCTTCTTGATTGTCAGTTTATAACCCTTTCACTTCATCATGTTTTCTAAATGGAACAGGATGGGCACATTCTTGTCAATTTTTTTACCTTGATCTTGAGGCAAAAATTCCAGGTTTTTCGGAGGAGTACACACTCTATTACAAACGTACTGATATTTCAGATTATCACCACTTTAGCTCGTAATCTAGTTCACAAAGACTAATAGTCTTATAAAAACTTCAAAACATAATTACTTCATGTTACGACACAATTAAGAATTTGGTATGTTGACAATGCCTAATAAAAATGTTGCATTTTAATTTGAACTTGATGAAACTTATCATCAAATATAATAACTTAAGATTGGAGTGACAAACCAAAATTAGGTTGAAATATACCAATAATTACATGGCTAAGCACGCAAGTTTCAAGAAAGGGTGGTGATGGTACAATTTTTCCTGACTTTGATGTTCACGATCACCCTAATATATTATTAAACTTAGAAAAACAGATCTGATATGGTATGTTAGTATAACAATGTGTTCTTAATAGCGTAAAACAAGTGATATTTGGTAATGTCACGAATTAGAGGACAAAAAAAAGTTTGCTTTGTGTAACTCCTGCGCCTACACTTTCAACTGTTAATACACTCAAAGCTACTCAATGTATATTAACTATGAAACTTATTAGCATTTAGAAAATTTTATAGATACATATACACATATAAAACTTGAGTCAATCTTACCTTAGACACATTGGCATGGAACTGAGCCATATTATTCCCTAAAAGAGACCCAAACTTTCCTAAAACTTCTTTGTGCCATGAGTCATACTTCAGAGACACTTTGCTTTGTACCTAGGGCAGTAAAGGAATATATACATTCCTCAATTCTACCAATTTCAGATTTACTACATTAAAAATGAATCTAAGTTTCAAATGGACAGCAACTGCCTGTTGTAGAAACCTACAAATGTAGAGGACGAATGTTTCGAAAGTCTTCCACCTGAAGAAGAAAGGCGGAAGACTTTCGAAACATCGTCCTCTACATTTGTAGGTTTCTACCTCAGGCAGTTGCTATCCATTTGAAACTTAGATTCAATATGAATACTCTGTCTAAACAACCAATCAAAGAGTACATTAAAAATATTTACAATAAAACATTTACAACGTGATAGTATTTTTAACCCCACCACAGATAAACTATATTAGGTGTATATTGATTCTGCTTCTAACCCAATATTAATTATTTCAACTTTGCTGTAATAAAGTATTTTTTAACAGATATGACATTTTGGTAGCTTAACAATTATTACATAAGGAAATATTTCTTATACTGAATCTCAAAATCAGCATTAAACATTAACTTTGCTAATAACCGTTTTCTAGAACAATGTGCTACTGAAAACTGGGGACTACAATTTATACTTATAAAACAACATTAAATTTTAACAAGTATAAATTGCAGTCCCCAGTTTTCAGTAAAATATACCAAATTCTTAAAAAACTAAGGCACCGTTGTCTTTCGGTCACAATATGCATTTACCGCAAAAACAAACCTTTGCATAGTCAATTATGATTGGTCCAATCTCTTTGCGTACTTCTGTAGTGTCAAATGTGGTACGTGATTTCCTATATAAATATTACAAAATTGGAATAAATGAACCTTCTAAAACATGCAAATTTTTGGTATAAAACTTCATAATAATAGCAGTTCGAGATTGTTATATTGGTAAAAAAAAATATATAAACATGAATTATATGTTTCATATAAATAAATGTTATTCAATGGTAACATAGAAGCAAAAAACAACTAAGATCTCTTGACAAACAGTAAGTTTTTATTCCATCTTTTTTAATTGTCTATTTACTGTACAAATTATAACACACCAATCAAAAGTGGCTGACATTTTTACTAATATTTTCACTACCAATTCATGAATACACAACTCTAGTACCTGATCTCCACAAGAGTGTTCATCCAACAATTAATGTCTTCGCCTAACTTTGAGTAGAGCATATCTGGTTGCAAGTCCCACAATGTCTGGTAACGTAGCCACTCAGCCACGTATTCCTGCATCTGTTTGATTGTGTTCTCTACTGCTGAATAGGCTGATTCTAAGATGGCAGCACCATCTGGCATCTTGGTCAACAGGTTACGATAGGTTTGGGAAGTTTGTCGTTCTAAACCGACCTAAGAACGAGAAAACAAACATTAAGCAGATTTTTTAAACCTCATATTAATATTTACATCAATGCTGGGAACAGCATGATTGACTGTATATTTATATGTAGTTGGATGACAGTCAATCAGCAACTGTAAAGTTCATTTTTATACAGATCGAGAGGGAGAGCAATCCCATAATATTTGCATTTTATATCCAATTTATTCACTGTTTACATAATTATTTCCTATACTGTAAATACACACAGAAAGCAAAAGCCAAATGCCCATAACTTATTTAACAGTGATTTTGTGCATAACAAATAATGTACACTTACTAAATATTCATACATTACAACTATACTTTTTAAGATACTGCCTATCAGATAGAGATATTTTATTTCATTTTCTTAAATAGAGGGCCAGTGATATCATCCAAGGTTGGTAGAATAATCTTACTAATGAATTCATCTGTCAAAGTTACCGATAAATCTTGTGTTTTCCTTATTTGGGCATGTCTTTTGTGAATAGCCAACGAGGGGCTAGGTATAAGTGTTCAGTTTCCCTCTCTATATAGATGAAATTTATTTGTTCAGGGGATGCACTCAATAAAGATGTTTTAAAAACACTAGAAATTTCTACAAAAATTATTGAAACCAGGCCAAAGTGACATATAAGCAAATCATCAGCTCAAAAGACTGAGCATTTTTCACGATAAAAAATATTTTTACGAACTATATTTAAATTCACAAAAACTTCAAGATAGCTAAAACCTGGAAATTAAAAGTGATAACACAAAAGACGTTAAAGAGTAAACTTAAAATAAAAGTGACTGAGGTAAAAATACCATCTGTCGGGTGCACAGTAAGAGAGAGAGAGAGAGAGAAGGAAAGCAATAAAAAAAGGTAGATTTGGAGCACCATAAGGGCAATCTTCTCAAGCTTTTACAATACATTACAAAAATGTGAACAGTCTATTATTAGCGTGAGTCAAGAAGCTACTTCTGCTAAAACTAGTGAAAAGACCAGTGCTGTAACTTTCAACTGTATTATCTCAGAAATTGAAGAAACCACAGCTTCTCATGACAAAAGCAATTCTAAAGTTGAAGAGCAGAAAAAAGAAGAATGCATGTTTATTTGATTCCAGTTATTGAGTTAAATGGCCCAAAATAGTGTTATTGGGTGAAAAGGAATCAGTACATTGGGTATTCTCAAGAGCAAGTAATTACACATGCCAATAGGTCACCGGAGAAGTACTAGGGTAATGGGTTCAATATTTTATCACACATGATTCAAAGTTTTGTTTCTTCTGCAAGATTTTTAGCACAGCTAACTTTTCACTCCCATCTAACAAATAAATGACTAAGAAAATATGTTAACACCTTTAAGTCAACATGAAAAGTCTGCTGATCACTTGATGTATTTCAACAGTGGAAAGAATAAAGAATCTCAACAATGAACCAAACAATCAATATGGAAAAAATCTGTGCCTCATTATATAAGAGCAAGACCACTGAATAACTGCTATTAAAAGGCTTAGTGCTTTTCCTGGCCTTTAAAATATTGCTTTTCTTGGAAGTTGTGAGAAGTTATTCACATGGAGAAACAGAAACTGTCTCAAATTTGTTGAATATTTGGCAATATCTGACCCTTCCATGAAAGAACAACTAAGCAATATCTGGGAAATAACATTCAGAATGAGCTAATTAAATTGCTTTCCAACAAGATACAGGCTCGTGTGCTGGCTTTGGTGAGGAATGCCAAGTATTACTCAGTTGCGTTTAACTTTAGACACAAGTCACACAGAACACACAACAACGATCATTCGGTCTCTCACCACCACTGAGACACCTGTGACTAAAGATGGTGAAGTCAGTATCAAGAGGTGCTGGTATGACCAAAGTTGTTTTCAACAAGTTCGAGAAAGTTGCACTGCCACTGGAAGACTTGAATGGCCAAATATACGACTATGAAACCACCATAAAAAAAAACAGAATCAGACTTACTTCCAAGAGCTTTTACTGTACTACGAAAATCACAAACAAACTTTGAATTTTGTGATGAATGATGCAGCCAACTGTAGCCGTAAGACAGTGACAATCTTTGAGTTGAATCTATATTTTTTTCTCCAACTCTAGTTGGGAAGTTTTGTTACAAAATGTTTCCAAGTTGCCTGCGAGGTCATTGAATGACATATGATAGTGAAGTATAATTGATGTTATTTGTGTGCTTCAACAGAATAAATCTATAGTGGTCTGATCTCCATTCCATAAGACAATAAATACCTGCAAGGAAGCCACTGAGACAAAGTAATGCTTTGAAGTACAAACAACTGTTGAGAAAATCTGGAGTTTTAAATTTACAGTCAGTCTTGTGGTATAGCACGACTTGTCATGCGAGATCAACCTCACCAGGAGGGAAGCTTGTCCTACTCCACAACTAACAAAAAAGTATTTCCTACATGAGGAAAGGATTGATGAATGTTTACAAATGCTGGTGGACAAAATGAACATCATAAGAAAATTTTTTATAGAAACAGCACATTCACTTACACAAAAACAGAAGAGTTTTCATAGAATAATTACAATGTAAATTCAAACTTATCCTTGATTCATAACAAAACTTCTTTAGAAAAATTGTTAACACAACCACTGAACCAATGTCATAGATGTGGAAACAGAGTTAAATGTTTAGATTCCTGTAAAACATTGCTAATTTATAGAAGATGAGTTCAAGATACTTACTGATTCACTGTGTTCATCTCCATACCGACTCTTCAGGTGGTGACAGTGAAACAGAACTGTGCAATAACTCTCACAGAAAGTGACTAAAAATATACTGGTTTACATGTATAAGAAAAGATTACTAACACTTTCCCAGAATCTTTGCCACACTGAGAATCCTGTGTCAATTTTGTTTATCACCATTGCTTGTGGATAAAGAAGTTTTTCCAACCCAAATAAAACCTATCTGAGATCAACTGCTACACAAAACAAGACTAGTTGTTTGACTGTTGGTTTGTTGAATTTCACTCTAAGCTACTCAAGTGTATCTGTGCTAGCTGTCCTAATTTAGAAGTGATAGACTAGAGGGAAAAGAACTAGGCAACACCTTCACTGCTAAGTTGTGCGTGTGGGCTACTCTAACTGACCATTTATTTGACCATTACATTATAATGCCACCATGACTAAAAGATCAAGCATGTTTAGCGATGGGATTCAAACTTGCAGCTGCGAGTCAACACCCTAACCAACAATCTAATCATGAATGAAACTGCACAAGGAATGGCTTTGAAATAAGCAATCTACGATTTCTTCTCATTGAAACCATATAAAGTGAAATTTCCATAATTGCAAAATTTTTAGCTAACACAACAGTCACATGTTAACTGTTAATCTAACATTTCCTACAGGCTTTAATAAATATATTTGTAACCCTACAGCTTTGCTCGACAAGTGAAATAAAACTGTAGGGAAGGGAACAACATTTGCTTAAGGCAGTAAAGTAACTAGTACTGGGTCTGAAACAGAGAAAAATAAACCTCATTCTGGTTTAAACTAAAAGTAAAGAAACTGTAGCTAGAACCAATCCAATCGTGCATATTCATATAAAGTAGCTTTTCTCATCTATCATATATATATATATATATATATATAAAAAAATCAGTACTTCATGGTATTTTTAAGAACATTAAAATGCTACTGATTATGACAAAACAAGTCAAATAACGGAAACAAACTGTAGCATTACCTGATAACGGGTACTCTGGATCCGAGTTTGGGACAGAACAACATTCTCCCACGCAAACAGCTGCTGAAGGATATTGAAACGAGCTTCCTCGACGCTGGGACTGACATACATAACTTGGTTGGTGATACGTACTTCATGGATCAGAGTTGCAATCTGGGGATCACCTCCTGGTTTGTGTGCAGTGGTAGTTGGTGCATCAGTGTCCATAGAAATGTCTACTTCCTCTTCTCGTTTCCCTTCCAGAGCTTTGGTCCATGCGTTGATGCCAGCCTGGAGTCGAGATGCCAGTTTTTTCTCCACCTATGAAAGAACCACCACAGACAAACATTATTTTATAGGGGACTCGTACACATCACTGCACATAATGCATTCCTTTCTCCACGTATACAGGGTGTCCATAAAGTCTGGAGTGAATGTAAAGTTAATTTATTTGAAACATTTTTCTTTATTAATTTAATGTTTTATTCTTTTTGTTGCAGGTTTGTGTTGTCCATACAGAATAATAATGTCGTTAAGCTTACAAAAGCTCACTGAAATTATCCTGTCATGTGGACATCAAGGATGGACACAGAGAGAAATATCTGTGGAGTTCAATAACAAACATCCAGAAAGAAATCCAATATCTCAGTCATGCTGTATTTTTTACAAACATGTTTTAAACTTGGCAGTGGCCATTTTGAACACATATTGTAACTACAAAACTTGGCAATGGCCATTTTGAACATATATTATAACTACAAAACTTGGCAGTGGCCATTTTGAGCATATATTGTAACTACAAAACTTGGCAGTGGCCATTTTGAGCATATATTGTAACTACAAAACTTGGCAGTGGCCATTTTGAGCATATATTGTAACTACAAAACTTGGCAGTGGCCATTTAGAACATATATTGTAACTACAAAACTTGGCAGTGGCCATTTGGAACATATATTATAACTATGTCTTTAAATAAACTATATTTATATTGATTTCACACTTAATGGACACCCTGTCTGTATAATATATACAAACACACATTAGTCTTTGAGTTTCACTCTCAAATTTTTTATTTCTATATTTTTTTGCCTATGTATTCTTGATGCAATTTAAAGTACTGACCTACCTGAAATGGACTGCAACTGTCTAGGAAGTCTCTTGGACAACATTTCAGGCTGTTAGTGCAGATCTTAAACAGCCCAAAACATCACCCAAAAAAAAGACAGATAAAACCTATTAACAATTCTTTCAAGTATACTACTCTCTGTCTAAACCTCCTCTCATGCAAGCATTAGACCAGTATATGTGTATTTCTACAGTAATTCTCAACTGCACTTATGCACTCTTTTTTTGATTTTTGAACTCCTACCATTACTTTGCTTGTACACTTAACTCCACACGCTACAATGAAAAAAAAATGCTTTTCAACAAGTTATTGTGGGGGTTAAATGGGGAAGTTAGCCTAGAATGCAGTCTTGTGTCCAAGAGACCTGGCATGATTTTTGTTGTTATATGTTGCCATGATCCTCCTTCTCTACAGTTTGATGACAAGTATTTCAGTAGGATAATGATCCTCCTCTCTACAGTTTGATGACAAGTATT